AATCCAAACAAGGCCTCATCGAGAATCTTAAACTTGTTCTTGCTTTTATGCTCGAGTTGGTAGATGGATTAATGTGACAAGCTTGCTAGCTTGTAGTTGTAGACCCATTATCTTTCTATATATAAAAAAGTATGAGGAGAGAGTTTGGCATTGAAATTTCACGTCATCTTTTATTTTTTTTATTTTCATTCTCACAAAAATAAATATTTACTAAAGTTTAGTAACTTCTTATAATTTTTACATCCAATAAATTTTTTAATTTGCCAAAAAAATCATAACTTCTTTCTTTTTCAAAATATAAAACTTCCATTGGTTTTAATAAAAACAACTTAATATTTTCTAATTTGCACACCTTTCTAATTTGCAACTTAATATTAAAGTTTTACGTGATCTTTTAGTTTTCCAATTTTAATCTCACAAAAAATAATTAATTAAGTTTATTTAACTTCTAATAACTTCCACTTCCAATATATAGCTCTTTTTTTTCCTTTTAAAAAAAATCTCTTTTTTATTGTTTGCCAAAAAATTCATAACCTCTTCTTTTTTTTTTTTCTCTCAAGAAAAGAAAACTTCTAATAACTTCAGTTGGTTTTTTTTTTAAATAAGACAACTTAATTTTTTTTCCCCCAAATAGTTATTATAACGTGAGAAGTTTTTGCGAAAGTTTAAACTGGAGTTTTGCAGTACTGGTTGGGTACGTAGATATTTGCCTGTATCGTTGACCAGATTGACAGATTTTTGTAGCTTTACCGCGAGGTCTTTGTACCATTATATATCATTCTAAAATGGCGTACAACGTGGGTCAATTCATTTGGTCCAACTGTATTCAGAATGAACACAAGGTTAGTTCCGTTTTCCCATCATTTTACTCATACTTCCCCATCATTGATTTCTTTTCTTCTTGTTTTGGCAAAGCAACAAGAAACCATATGAAGTAATAATAAGTATGTATCCATTGATGCCAGAACTAGAAAAAGATGTTTGAACTTTGAAGTACTTGGAACCCATCCTACTAAACCGACTTGTGAAACTGAAGCATTTGATTGATGAGACATGTTTCTTTAACAGGGCAACAATGGCTATCTCCGAACTGGACTGCTTTTTGTTATTCCCATTATTGTTTGCTTTGTACAGTATCACCGGATGTTGACTGACTCAATAGTTTGCCTGTCTTAGGGCTGCAAACGAGTCGAACCGAGTCGAGTTTTGAGCTAATCGATCTGAGTCTCGATTAAATTTTATCAAACTCAAACTCGAGCCGGCAATTTTCAAACTTGAGCTTGACTCGAATCAAGTCGAGCCGAGCTCGAGCTCGAAAAAAATAAAAAATAATTATTTTATTTTTAAAAAATAAATAAAATAATATTTTTTCTTAATAAATAATAAAATATCAAGGATATATACGTAATTTTACTATAAAAATAAAAAATAAAATATATATATAATATACGTAATTTTATTATTAAATAAAAATAAAAATAAAAAAAAATATATACTCAAACTTGCGAGCCTAACGAGTTTAATATTTTGAACTCGAGTTTGACTCGAGCCGGCTCGAGCTCGACTCGAACTCGATTAATATCGAGCTTGACTCGAGCCGCTCGCGAGCGGCTCGATTCGTTTGCAGCCCTAGCCCCTCTGATGTTAACAAGAAACGAGGCAGCAGCAGCAGCAGCCGCTTGCGAGCGGTTCGATTCGTTTGCAACCCTAGCCCGTCTGGTGTTAACAAGAAAGGAGGCGTTAGCTGCTGCTGCTGCTACCCAGTTTCACTCTCCCAAACTCGAACCTTTGCGTGGAAAGCTGATCCTCTTGACATTCTACAAAGTCCATGATTTTAAACAAAAATAAAACCTTTTAGAAGTTGAAATAAGTAGCTCCATATTTCGACAACATTAACGTTTCTATTACTACTAGAAAGCTAGCTGTAATAAGTATCTCCCGGCAAGAAACTCAAGCTACTAGAAAGCTAGCTGTAACAAGTACTATCTCCCGGCAAGAAACTCAAGCTTCACGTAATTAATTAACTGGAGAGAGATATCTTTTCATGTGTACATCTGTCCGTATTTTCATGTGCGTATATATGACAAATTATAACAGTTGGGAGGTCGTAGTTGTAGTAGGTTACTTATGATGATTAATACGTTTTAACACGAACCCCTCAACTTTTAATAATTATAGCGTCATTTCTTTATCTTTTCCCTTTCCGATGAATTAATTAATTTGTCTTCATTCGAAGTTTCGAACACACAACAGATGATTTGCAGACTCTGCATTTTGAATTAAGCGAAAAAAGTTTCTTCAGGAGCTGAGTCTGACTTATGTGTGCTGAGGATGATGAGTTACACAGACAATCACTGCTCCCCGCTCCGGTGGAGTTTATTAATTGAAATTACGATTAAAGTAAAATAATTATAGGAAATAATTATTATGACTGTTTTGACAAACAAAATTAAAGTATGCGAGGGCTTTGTAACCTGGAAGGGAACCCTTCAAGACCAAACAAGTCATCCAAAATATTAGTATTAAACTCCAGCACTCCACCTCCTGCTGGAAAAACCACTTTTTGTTTAATTTCATATGTGGACATCCTAACGAAGGTCAGTGACTTAATTTGACAAGCATCTAATTCTAAAACCACTTTCTAGAGGCTCTCTTGTTTTTCTAAAGCTTTAATTTGATTAGACAGACATTACTGTTGCGATCATTTATTTGATTTGCCAAAAAAATAAACAGTTTTTGGGTAATATCGATCGCGTGCATTTCTCTAGTTTATCGTGTGTTAATCATCAAGCTAATAATTGACAATCTTTTCATGGTGAAGTTCAGTCTCATCACGTGAGACGCGCATGATATTAAGAAAAGATAAATACATCCTGAATGAGATTAATTATTGGGAGTATGATGCAAGTGCTACATGCAAGTAAAAACAAAAAAACAAAAAAAAAAGCACAAATTGGCCCTCAATGTTTGAGAATTTTATCGACAAATACCTAGTTTCTTTGATTTCACCATGCGTATCTCGTGCTCGTGTCACTGAGCCTTAGGGCACTTTCACAGGGTCTACTTGAACGCCATGGATCTCGTCTGGAGAAGTTATACCATAACAGAGACAAAATGGGAAACATGAAATATCAAGCGGGGGAATTTTAAGGTTAACCCTAATATCAGTGTAGAATGTATATTCTCATGAGTAATCAAAATCAAACCTCGAGCCGTTATCTGCTTCTAGCCCAGTTAGTGGTGGCAGATTAATTTTCATAGCCAACTTGAGAGTCCGCTAGGTGACATAGTTTGAATTGATAATGACTTACCAACTTATGTTCGAAAGTCACCAAAAACATTTCTAAGAAATGTTTTTCTCAAGAATATTACTAAATTTGGAGAAGAATCTTGAAAAAATACAAAAAAAAAAAAGGGAAAATGTTATTTGCACTCCTATTTTTGTTAATCACACTCCCACCATCACTTTAATTTTATAGGTTTCATTTATTAGACTATATAATAAAACAAATAGTGAAAATGCTAACAATAAAAAATGCAGCTCAAATAACGAAATACTTTTCAACTTCTTTTGGCTTGATTAAACTTTTAGTGGAGTTAAGAGGGAGCTAATTTGACATCTTTAGGGCACTCATTGAGTTATCTGAGTCAAAGAATGCCGGAATTAACATAAATAGAGGCTTGATATCTACCCCCACCGAGGAAGAAAAAATTGTTTTGATTAAGATCAAAAGCGAATTACCCAAAAGGCCATTGAGCTGTCACATAGATAGTGACCGTGAGAGGGCACTTGTGTCAATTCGGCATAATTTCCCCGGAATCACTTCATCTGCTTGTCCGTTTCATTGATCTCCCAAAATTAATTCTCATTCTTTATTTTCCAAACAAAAATTTAAAAAAAAAAATTAAACGTTAATGAGCGTTGTTGCGTTCGGAGTTAATTACCTTACCAAAATATGGAGATTATTACATAATTATACACGTAGGAATATCAAAGAATGAGCTGTCTGACTGACGTAATTGGTCGGAGGGCCTGCATGCCGGGAACTGCATGTAACAGCCGGCGGTGAGTTCCACATTGTCATTCAATTATTGCACGTATAAATGTCAACCGCACACCAGAACCAAAATAATGTACAAATTGAAAAAAAAAACACATGACATTATTGTTGGCCTTGGCATTTGTGCTCTGTGGTTCTAGACGATATACTACGAATGAGAAGAATTTGAAAGCTTGTAACCAAAAAACAAAAAAAGTTTCGGAAAAAAACTTTTAATTGAAAGAGTTGGTAGAGCAAAAACAAGGGGTAAAAATAGAACAGACCCGAACTAGAAATCCCAAACAAACCTTCTATAAAGAGTGATTCTCTTTCTCCTCTCTCTCCGCCCTTCTCTCGCCCGTCGACAATCTCTCTCTTCCGTATTTTCCCTCTCTCTGTTTCTCTATCTGGTCTCCTGCAAACATACATTTGCAGCCATTGCAGGCATTTTTCTGCTTTTGCTGCTCTTCTTTTGATTAAAGAAGCCAAAAAACCCTTAGCGTTTTGGTATATTCTGAGAGGTAAAGAAAGGGCCCCCAAAAAAAAAAAAAAAAAAAAAGAAAGAAAGAAGAAACCCTCTTCTTCTTTCTTTTCCCCCGTGAACATATCCTAATTCTGCATCACATTGCGGAGGGTTTATTTCAGATGTTATTTTGCGTCTCAAAGGGTTTAATATTTTGAGATATTCAGTCAAGAATCTTTTAGACCTTCCTAAATTTAGTGGGTGGTTCGAGCTAGATAGTGTCTCTGACATTCCAGCTCTGCCACCATTGTTTGTTTTGCGTATCCAAGAAGCAAAAATCAGAGGAAAAAGAAATTAACAAAATTCTTTTGCTTTTCGCAAGGAAAAAGCTTTATATACGTTGAGCTGTAGATCTGTTGCCTGCTTACCTCTAAGAAACTCCTCTTCTTTCCTCTGTTTTTGTCCGTACTCTATTTTCGTGGCACAAAAACAGAGAAATGGATAGGCTTCCATCCGCCACGCTTCTTCCGGATGGCTTTATAGGGGGCAGAGATGATATGACGGAGCAATTTAGCATGGTCTGGGCTCAGATCAAAGCACCATTGATCGTCCCGCTCCTTAAACTCGCTGTCATGGTTTGCTTGATCATGTCTGTAATGTTGTTTATTGAGAGGGTGTACATGGGCGTAGTGATTTTGCTGGTGAAGCTGTTTGCGAGAAAGCCCGAAAAGCGCTACAAATGGGAGCCTATAAAAGATGATTTGGAGTTGGGCAATTCAGCTTACCCTGTGGTTCTTGTTCAAATCCCAATGTACAATGAAAAAGAGGTCCTCTCCTTTTTTCTTTATCCTTTTATGCAGACCCATCAGGATTTTCACTCGCCCCATTCCCCTGTTAATTTGCAGTCTATACTACTACTGTTACATGATTCACCCCCCTTTTTCCATCAGGGACTAAATTATTCATGTATATGTTAAAAAAAAAAAACAGGTGTATCAGCTCTCCATAGGAGCTGCATGCGGCCTTTCTTGGCCATCCGATCGTATTATAATTCAAGTCCTCGACGATTCAACAGATCCCATTATCAAGGTACAGACACTATACCAAATCAAAACGAAGCCACCAAGCAAGCATAAAACCTCCATTTGCTTTTTATAGCAAGAATGAGTTTTGGAATCTTGAAAAGAACCAGCAATTTCTGACGTCTAGAAGTTGCTGGGCTATTTATGGTTGGTCTGCAAAATTGACTGATGCTTTTCTTGTTATTGGCGCTGCGTGCAATAAATGGGCAGGCATTGGTGGAAACTGAATGCCAGAGATGGGCAAGCAAAGGGGTTAATATTAAGTACGAGATTAGAGACAACAGGAATGGTTACAAAGCTGGAGCATTAAAGGAAGGCCTGAACCATGCCTACGTTAAGCAATGTGATTATGTAGCCATTTTCGACGCAGATTTTCAACCTGAGCCTGATTTCCTCTGGCGAACCATCCCTTTCCTGGTTCACAATCCACAACTCGCCCTCGTTCAGGCTCGTTGGAAATTCGGTAATTTCCATTCCACCACTCTGCAGCACAAATTATTTCTACTTCTTTAATCTAGCTACGAGTCTGGTTAGAAAATGGAATAAGCGAAATTGATTTTCAACTGTAGACAATTTGCATAGTCCCGTTGTTTCCCTTATAATTGTGATTGGTGTACCAGAAACAGCTCTGCTTGGTTTAGCTCGTAATAATAAGCAACTAGCTAGTCGTTGACTCGTAGATTCATAGATATATATATATATATATAGTTGCAACATCATTTATTTAGTGAATTACATGGTTTAGCTATTTGTAGTATCTCCTACTCTAGCCCTCTAAAAGTGTCGGTGACAATCTTCTACCACACAAGGCAGAAAATTCGGCCGCCCATTTTGTTTTGGCGTGCCATATCTTTTTATCAGAATCACAAAAGCAGGAGGATGTATTAAAAATAATCGTCGTGTTTCTTCTAATAGTGGTATTTAGTTGTTGGATGCATAAATTCCATAATTGGTTACTACTAATTAACCACCGCCAATGTATTAAGGCTTGGTGGGATGGGTGGCAAGGGTTCAAACTTTACCTCTCACCAATTTATTACAATTAAATGTGATTTTGCTTAAAAAATTCAGTCTGGTTCAGCGATGGTTCGGTCCTCTTGAGATTACCTCAGGATATCTTCAGAGGATCTCTCCGGGCATTCCTCCTCCTCCTCTTATAATGTAGTGTACAGGAAGTTATTGTATCGACAAAAAAAAAAAAAAAAAAAAAATTACTACTAATTCCTTGAGATACTAGTGCTAATGGCCCTCTGGATATGGACGCGTACAGTCATCATGTTGTGGACCCCAAGATATTGGGACCCAACATCCCATACCCACAAGGCCCATATATATTGTGAGTGAGACTTCCAGACTTGTTTTACTGTTCTAAAAATGTCTGGTGAACCGAAAACAAAAGGTTAGTACAAGTACACCTGGACCCTGGATATAGAGACGAAGGGTGATAGAAACAAATCCCCAAAGCTGTGTGTTTCGCTGTTTCTTGGTTTCGTGATTGTTGCGTTGGAAGTAGATGGAGGGGTGGATGAAAATTAATAATATCGCTACCACCGCCTGTAGAGAAAAGCTGTGGACGTACAACGGTACAAGGCCCTAATTATGAAGTGGTGGATTTCGGGCCAGACTCCGGAGTCAGGCTTTGCCCACAAATCTTTCATTCTTATTGCTTCCCACCCACGCACATGTGCGGCCGTGGAATTGTTCGGTATGACCAAGGGCAAAGCCGTCTATTTGTCACAACTTTCTTCCCTCCTTATTATTATAATTACAAGGCAGCAGTTGCATGTGCTGTTTTAGTGGTGGACCGCCAAGCTATTCGACAACTTGCATCTGTTTCTCCAGCGACTATTTTTCCTGGCTCACATCAGTACAATCAACGAGAATAATTAGCAATTTTAGGGACGAAAAGTCGGGGAAAGTAAATCTTGATCATTTTACTAGAATGTAAAGTAGAAGCACAGCAAGTTATTTACTACGTACATTTTTGTAGTATATTTGTTTGACTGACGCTTATTGGCACGGCACGTGGGGTTCTCTCTGCAGTGAATGCGGATGAATGCTTGATGACAAGAATGCAGGAAATGTCGCTGGACTATCATTTCACGGTGGAGCAAGAAGTGGGATCCTCCACCTACGCTTTCTTCGGCTTCAATGGTATGGTGCTAATCAACTTTCAAGAACCATGCTTCCTTTCCAGCGAGTCTGCTTGTTGAATGTTAATGACTAACTAATCCTAGTACTCCTTTGAGCTCTCCGTTTAGTGATCGTGAATGTTCCCTTAATTTTCATTTTTTAGGGGATCAACCATAGTTTTGAACTACTTGCTCTTTGATGAGTCGAACCCGGGAAGACATAATACATAATATTATTATTGTGTTATTCTCAATTATAGTGTATTAACTTGCCAGCCTCGAAGATGTCAATTTTCCTTTCTTTGTTCCTGAAATTCAGGAACTGCTGGTGTGTGGAGATTGGCTGCAATTGATGAGGCTGGAGGCTGGAAGGACCGCACAACAGTCGAGGATATGGACTTGGCTGTCCGAGCTAGTCTCCGGGGCTGGAAGTTTGTATACCTTGGTTCTCTGGTGGTACGCAGCTTTTCCAGCGTCTCATGCATTTTGTTGCCTAAGAATAGAAAGTATCAGTAGGAGCAGGACCATTTCCTACCAATTCTGATGAATAAGGCACAGAGAGAGTGCAACAGATAAAACAAGTAACCAGATTAATGAGCCACTGTATCGGAAAATACGGCTATCATTCTTAAGAACTACTAACAAAATATCTCTAACAACTCCGTATTTATTTTCATTCTTGTAGGTAAAGAATGAATTGCCAAGTACTTTTAAGGCGTATCGTTATCAACAGCACCGTTGGTCATGTGGCCCTGCCAATCTTTTTAGAAAAATGGTCATGGAAATTATAAGAAACAAGGTTTGTCCCTTTTTAACCTTTTCCTTGGTGTTTCTCTCTTGATGAACCTATTACATCATACAATCTATCTAATCCATTGACTTTTTTTTTTTTTTTTGGCAATTTTCCTTCTCGTCCTTCTCTTTTCATTTGCAGAAAGTCACTTTGTGGAAGAAGGTTCATGTGATTTACAGCTTTTTCTTGGTTAGAAAGATCATAGCCCACCTCATCACATTTGTGTTCTACTGTGTACTTTTGCCGAGCACTGTACTAGTACCTGAAGTTCAGGTCCCGAAGTGGGGAGCGGTCTATATTCCTTGTGTCATTACCCTACTCAATGCAGTTGGAACTCCAAGGTTTGGTTTCCTCAACAATTATTCTCATCAACTAACTTAACTGTGTTGCATTCGTATGGTGGGCTAGAAATGTAACAATCGTGATCTTTAGTAGAAATTCATGTTAAAGGATATCTATTTTACATGTTAATTACGTACATGGTGAATTTTCTATGAATTTTATCAAGGACTGGTAGTACTTCTGTGTGTGTGTGTGTGTTCAATCTGTCAATCTTAGATCATCACGTACCAGTATTTGTGAATCTTGTTTCTTGCATTCGATTGGGAACTACGTTTCCTGAAGTAACTGAAGAATATCGAGATTTTGGCATTCATGCTTATAGCGTTTCATAATGTAGATCACTCCACTTGATGGTTTTCTGGATTCTATTTGAGAATGTCATGTCTCTCCATCGGACAAAAGCAACCTTCGTTGGCTTGTTGGAGTCTAGTAGAGTGAATGAATGGGTCGTCACTGAGAAACTTGGGGATGCTCTCAAGAACAAGTCAGCCGTAAAAGCAATCAGAAAACCTCGATTTAGGTTTGGAGAGAGGTAAAGAAATCTGTTTTTAAGCTTTATTGATGCAAAGCTTACTTAGTTCCCTGACTCTCTTATACAATAACTTACAGCAGCAGTATATAGCATGCCAAGAAAGTTTTTGTCCCGTGATCATTGATGATTTCATACATCTTCTTATTGCCAACAGACTTCATCTGCTAGAACTTGGGACTGGCGCTTACCTATTCTTCTGCGGCTGTTACGATGTTGCATTTGGTAAAAACCACTATTACCTATATCTCTTCACGCAAGCAATCGCCTTCTTCATTGCGGGATTTGGCTATATTGGAACTTTTGTTCCCAACTCATAATGCCATTCCGGAACTGGAAGTGATTCCTTCCAAGTACATTTACCTTCCGAGTATATTGGTCGCCCTGGTTTTTTGTTGCGTCTCTGCTGCAGCACTTAGTAGAAGTGGCGTTCTCAGCAACCTCTCCTTGCAACTTTCACTTCACATTTTAGAGTATTTGCCCTTTAATTTTTTTTATTTTTTATTTTTTTATGTTTCCTTTATTATTTTTCCAGTTGCCTTTACTTGTAAAAAGAACAAAGATGGTCATTCTTTTAGGTTAGGCATAAGCATTCGAGTAATACCTCGAATCATTTGTTCTTGTGTATAGAACAGAAGTCCAGGGTTTTACTACAGAACAAAATGATTTTGCAAATGCTTCGCACTCAAAAGCGAAAAAAAAAAAAAAAGAAGAATCTGCTGAAGTAAAGAACATTGCTTGTTCCAAATCCAAGCAGACGGGGAAAATTTTTTTTTTGTTTCTTCGAATTTCCTCCTCTATCTGAGGTTTATTTTATTAGCAATAAATTCTAGAGAGATGGAAAAAATCCTTGGCGCAGCATCATTTACATAGTGAAATTGTTAAACAGACTACTGTGAAGTGTTTTTCTTCTCCTGTCTTATCATTCGATCTGTGATGCCCAATTTAACTTCAAACTGAACAACTGAAGAGAACCCCTCCCCACCAACCACCATCACAAAACAAGGTAGGGGGGCAGGGGGGGAGGGATGAGACTCAAGAAGAGGGGAATTTGAACCCAGTTGCTTTACTCATCAAAACTATTGTACTCAGAGCACCTTTTAGGCGTTGCAACGATCTTGTAGTACTTCATATTCCTTCTCTCGCTTCAAAGATGTGCTACCATCTTTGCAAAACACTACTGCAGAACAACCACCTCCAACTGAAGCAGTCTGATGCTGCCATCATGGAAACGAGTAATTAATTATACAACTTTTGTCAAAAGTTAGAATTAGACAACGACCACCCACTTATTATTCTGTTTCCGAGCACACCATTCTTCACTAAAAATAAATAAACAATGGCTTGAAATTTGTATTGTGAAGCGTGCACACAAGTTGCTCTGCATTCAGGGACCCGTAATGGTTGATCAACGCCAACAGCCCTTTCCTTTCCTGCATCTTCATAAATGCTCCTACTGTGCAATGATTCATAAACTGACAATTCATTGAAGTGTAGGTGAAATATAGCACTCCACTAATAACCATTCAAAGACAGATTACTGTCAATTCTATGGAAATGATGCTATGCCGCCTGGTAAAAGAATTTTTTAATCCGAGAACATCAATATATTGCCTCTCGCAGGATGCACGCACTAAGCTGATGGATAGGATTGAAGATTCAGTTGGGATCCTCTATGCCGCTGCTCGGTGTCAAATTCAGTATCAATCCTACTTATCATATGATGGTAGAAGAAATTTAAATGACTAGCACACGATAAATTAAATAAACAGGACACTTGACATAAATATAAAAGTGACGCTGAATTGTTATTGAAAAAGTGACACTAAGGACTTGGTCTGTGGCCTGGCCCTGTAAATCACAATGTCACATATCCAATTGTTTTGGTTTGATGCTCGACTTGGGCTTTTAGTTGAGGTCCATAAGAACAAGTCCTCCAGGACCATGACAGAAAAGCCCAATTCTAATCAAATCTAAGCGGCCGAGGCGTATGGACTATGGAAGGCTAAAGGCCTCATTCAACGACTAGAATAGAACGAATCTCAGAACCGAGAAGACGGCGAGTCTTTTCAAACGTAGGACGGTGGGAAAATGGGGAAACGGATCTGTCTTCTCCTTCCCTCCAAATTTCTCCGCCACAATCCCCCTCCGAATTGCAAATTCCTCTGTTCTCACTCTTCACTCTCAGCCATTCCGGATGAAACAAACGCCACCTCCTCCATCACCAATGACGGAGCCGTCCCTGCCGACGAAGATCTCCAAGAGCAGCTCCGAAATCTTCGGATATTACTCCAACAGAACCGCACCGAAACTGCAAAGAGGCACCTTAAGACCCTCATTGATTCCCATTCCGTCTCTCAACTTTACACGCTCTTCTCCTCCTCCTCCTCCTCCTCCTCCTCACCTCCACCGGTAAAGCCCATGTTTTTCAACATGCTCTTGTCAATGTACGCTGAATCAAAGCGCCCCATTGAGGCCACGGAAGTCTATAATCTGGTCAAAGAAGATGGTAGTTTTCCTTCCCTCTCTGCTTTTAACCTATATCTTGAATCACTGGTTACTTCAAGTGAGTATAATAAGGCCCTCGAGGTGTTTTCTCACGCGGTAGTTCGGGGCGTTCGGATTGACAAGTTTAGCTACGGTAAGGCCATACAATCTGCCGTGAAGTTAGGGGATTTGAAAGGGGCATTGGAGAAAATGCAGTCCATGCAAAAATGTGGAATGAAGCCCAATGGTTTTGTGTACAATGTTCTGATAGGAGGTCTGTGTAAAGAGAGGAGGGTGGAGGATGCACGGAAGCTGTTTGATGAAATGGTGCATAAAAGAGTGATGCCTGACAGGGTGACTTACAATTCACTCATTGATGGCTACTGTAAATCGGGGAATTTGGAGGAGGCGTTTAGTCTAAGGGAAAAGATGAAAAATGATTGTGTGAAGCCTAATATAGTCACCTTCAATACTTTGCTTGGTGGCCTTTGTAAGGCAGGGAGGATGAAGGACGCTACAAAGGTATTGGAGGAAATGGAGGTTCATGGGTTTGTTTTTGACGGACTTACCTATAGTATACTTTTCGATGGGCACTCAAGGTGTGGAAATGTGGATGCTTCGCTGGCTTTGTATGAGGAAGCTGTTCGAAAAGGGGTACCTTTGAATGAGTATACTTGCAGCATTTTGTTAAATGGGTTGTGCAAGGAAGGGAAAATGGACAAGGCTGAGGAACTATTGAAGAAGTTGATAGGCGATGGGCTTGTTCGGACAAAGGTGATCTTTAATACCATTGTGAATGGGCATTGCAGGGAAGGCAGTGTGGAAAAAGCTCTTTCCATTATTGGAGAAATGGAAAATGTTGGGGTGAAGCCAGATTGCATCACATTCAACACCGTGATCAATAAGTTCTGTGAATTGTCCAAGATGGATGATGCACACTACTGGGTTAAGAAGATGACCGAGAAGGGAATTTCCCCCAATTTACAGACATATAACATCCTAATTCAGGGCTATGGACGAAGTCGTCAATTCGAAAGGTGTTTCCAGATTCTTGAGGAAATGGAAAGCCATAACGTCAATCCTAACGTTGTTACTTATGGTTCTTTGATAAATTGCTTGTGCAAGGATGGTAGGCTTGTCGAAGCTGAAATAATCCTAAGGGATATGATCGGTAGAGGGGTTTTGCCAAATGCGCAAATATATAATGTACTTATAGATGGTAATTGCGCAAGAGGAAAGATTGATGATGCATTTAGGTTGTCTGATGAGATGATAAAATGTCAAGTAGACCCAACGATTGTGACATACAATATATTGATTAATGGGCTATGCAAAAAAGGTCGGGTGATGGAAGCTGAAGAATTGGCTTTGCAAATCGTAAGCAAGGGTCTAAACCCTGATGTCATTACATATAATTCCTTAATGTCAGGGTACTGCAATGCAGGTGATATCAGTAAGAGCATGCAGTTATATGAGAAGATGAAAGCATCGAGCATAACCCCTACCTTAAGAACATTTCATCCTCTAATTGCTAAATGCAAAACAGAAGAAACTGGACTGCTACAGATAGAGAAAATTGTACGAGAAATGTCCCACATGAACCTGATTCCTGATCGAGTTGTATATAATGAGCTCATTCGTTGTTATGTAGAGCATGGAGAGGTCGACAAAGCATTCTCTTTGCAGAATGAGATGGTAGAAAGAGGAATTAGTCATGATCGGATGACATACAATGGCCTGATATTGGGGTGCTTTAAGCAGTGCAAATTTGAGAAGGCAAAGGATCTTTTCGAGGACATGAGAGCTTGCAGATTGATTCCTAATGCGGAGACATATAACATGTTTATTGACGGACACTGCAAGCAGAAGGATTTTTTAGGGGCATATATTTGGTATAGGGAAATGCTTGAAAATGATCTCTACCCACCTATCGCTATTTGCAACGAACTACTCTCAGGCCTCAGAGAGGAAGGGAAGTTTGAGGAGGTCCGTATAATTTGCTCTGAGATGAGTGTCAAAGGAGTTCATGATTGGAGCTTGAACGAGGACCTCCATGCTGTTGCCAAAGTGTAGGGTGGAAGCGCATCGATAGCCCATCTCTTGTAACACTTTCTTAAGTTGTACATACTTTAGCTGTTCATTCTTCTGTTCTTCTAGCGCGGAAATGGGGTCATAAGCTGTGATGAATCCAGCAATACGCCATTCCTCTGTTGATAGTGAGGTGATGATATTTATTGTATGTTTCCGATGTCATCAAATTGCTGAAGAATGCGTTGCTTGGTTACGTATCCGTTTGTTCAATGCTTAGCCTACAGGCTACGGTTAACCTTAGTTGGAACCGACTTCAGATGCTGTTTCTTTCTCTTTTCCCTTTCGTCATTTATTAAACTCAGCTGTATCCTTCGCTTTGCCCACTTACATCATACTACTTGATGTTGCTCTGCACCGTTGAGTTCTTCCTAGGCAGGCAATGGTAGTAACGTTGGGCCTCCGTAATAACTCCAAGACAAATTTTGGCTGCAAATGCGATTGCTTTTCATTCGGAACAATTTGAGCGCTTCAGCGAACTTGAGAAGTCAAAACCCGCAGATTAGTAAGGAGTAATTTCTAAGTCTTGCAGATATTAATATTACTATATCTAATGAGTTTTAATGAACTGCAAGAGAAACAAGTTTTTTTTTTCTTTTTTATACAGGTCAAACAAAGAAGAAGTTAATTTCATATACGATGGCATAAGTAGTTATCCTTTTTTTTTTTTTTTGACAAGATAAGGAGTTGAATAGGAGCATAATCATTTAAGAATGGGATTAAATTTTTGTTGACATATTCACTTGAGCTATTTGGATTCGGTTTGGGATATAAATGACTCAGCTACAATTTCATCGACTTGTTGAAAACATTTTTCTCCTCGTCCTCGTAAATTTTTGTTATTGTTTTGTTGTTTTTCCTTTTTGGTTTGTAAAACATCTGAGGTTTCTCTTGAGGTTTCTCATAATATCACTCAACTCTCCTGAAAATTTTAAAATCTCACTTACCTCCCATATTAGTTTGACAAGACTAAATATTTCTATTAAATGTCACAAATTGATAATATTACGCTTGCTCTTAATAGCCATTTAACAAAAAGCCAAAGCAAAATAAAATTTTTAGACCAAAAATGTTGTTTAAAGAAAACAAATTGTTATCTAATAATGGTCCATATTTCTCTATACGGAGGTTATGATGGGACAACAGAAGACATGGATAAATTGAATCTAGTCAAAACCACCTATTTACGAGAATTTTCATAAGTAA